TATACGAAGTTGAAGAACTTTGCCTGACCACACCAAAACTTTTTAACGTCTCAAACTTTTTGGACTTCGCTATTCGAATCAAGAACTTCGTTGTGATAGCGAACTCCTGTGAAGCTGTTCTGCGGGTCTATTCCAAAAAAGGTGGGGACATTCGACATAAGCCTACAGCAATCCCAATCTCTGCAGAGAGAAAATGCTGTGTGGATAGTGTAAAAGCCAAATCGAAATGGCTCACGTGCACCGTGGATTTCCTCCCTTCTGAAAGTGGAATTTCTGTATTCACAAACTGTCCCACCACGTGCACCATTATAGGAATAGAGCCTGGTCTCCTAATACTTTACAGCTGTTTCTACCTGTACTACGTGTGTATACTAAATCGTTATTTAGTACATCAACGGAATTCTAATTGTGGCAATACCATTGATTGGATTAACAATAATCGTCATATTATGCATCATTGTCCGATGTGTGCTGTACCAGCGATCGGAACAGGTTCATCTTTCCTCTCATCACTCTTTATCTATTGCTCTGCATAACCATTCAAGCAAAGTCGTGCAGAATAAGAGGGCAGCCGAAGAATTGGCCGCTCAAAAACTTTCCCACACCAAAAAGAAGACCTCTTTATGAATCTCATTCAAAATGAACCGCTCATAAACAAACCTTCCGCCGAGGCTGTCATCGAATCACCCCATGATTTTCTGACTACAATCTCCAGAAAGTTGACTGCATTAGGAGTAGCAGGGGCTTGGTCTTTAGAGCCTGGCTGCGAGGAGGTAATGGATTCTATTGACTGGGGAGAAATTCTGAAATTGTCAACGTTTTCTTTTTATATTTCTTTTACTTATTTACTTATTTATTTGATGCACGCCCAGGTGTATTATATCAGAAATTGACGACCACCCATAAGCTGAGCAGAATACCGCACATGCACATGAAGTTGATCTTCCTCAACTCATAAGAAAAAGGCCTACTATGAATCGGAGAAAAATTTAATTTTTGAAAACTCAGAGGAATTGTTGGCATATTGCTGATCAGTTCTCATTGTATAACAATAATATAAATAATGGTATAAATAATTAAGTATAAAGAAATATAAAAAGAAAACGCTGACAATATCATAATAAATGATCAGTAATATAATAACCCGTATTAGATTAGACACATACAATTTCCCAAGCTATTGGGTAACCGAGAATTCGGTCATGTTTCGGGTGATGCACCAAGAAGAAAATAAAAACAACCTTCAAATTTTGGACTAGTAACAAGGGGTTCGAACACGATATTAAGCCTGACATAAAGCTTTTTTCCGTTGGAATCCCTGCCTAGGATCGGAACGCATCTCTACTTCCATTCTGCACCATCGCAGCGGTCGCGTTTGAATGACGATGTGCCCATACATATGACTTTACGCTGGCAGCCAGCCGATGTGAGGCGAAGTCGGTGTCTTTTCATCCTCCGAGAAATCTGGGTACAAAACTAACCGCTCCCGGAAGGATGGAAGGCATACTTGACCCGGGCGGCACGACCCAGGATTCGATTCCCGCACCGCGTGCATGGTAGGCGTCCCACTTGTACCTATACCACTTATGCCTCAAACGCGATAAGCCAGAATGAAATAGAAGAGTGGAATGCTCCTCCGATAGATAAAGCGGCCAAAGCTTTCTCAATGACCACACTCTAAGAAGCGAATGGAAACGGTTCTGGAGCTTACCCTACTGACAGCTCTGCTGGGGGGATTTTAACAAGCAAGAGTTCTCTTAATTTTCCAGAAAAATCGCCGAAATAGCAGGTTCCGTTCTTATCGTGAAGAATGGCTTCAAGCCACTAAATTATGTTGATAGTGATAGAACCATGCAACTCTCATGCAAGTACCCTCACCTAACAAGGGAGGTCTTTCAGGTCATGGAGCGCTTTTCCAAAATGATTTCCTGCACTTTGTAGAGACTCATGCGAGGAACACAAAACCATGGTCCGTTTTTCCTGAACGCTTCTAGGAAGGTCAGAATAGTGGAGAAGAGATGGTCCAAAGTTCGATCCTCCTGTGATGTCTAATTTTTGCAATTTATGTTGGAGCTTCCAAATTGTCCAAATGGCACCAGCGTCGATTGCCATGTCATCCTCGTAATTTGGCGACAATTTGGAGGCTCCAACATGGATTGCAAAAATTTGTCACCACGGCGGATTGAACTTTGGACCATTTCTTCACCACTGTTTTGAGGTTCCCAGAAGTGTTCAGGAAAAAAATGGACCATAGTTTTATGTTCCTCGCATGAGCCTCTACAATATGCAAGGAACCATTTTCGAAAAGCGCTCCATGACCTGAAAGACCCTCCTTGTAAGGTTCCTTGCTTATAATTAGGAAAAATTTTCTACGTAAATAATTAGGCTACTCTGAAGAAAATATGTATATCGCAGACGACGAATATCTTAAAAAAATGACAGACCCATAAATGACTAGTTAGGGAACGCAGGGTGAGGAGAGCGGGCAAAAATCGGTCCATTATAAGCTTACTGGAAATTTCTTTGAATATATGCAGAAGCTCATTAGTGCAAGAAAATTTTAGTCCCCAGTAATAACTGATTTTCAGACAGAAGAAGATATCGAACAAGCTCAACCCACAAGTCCCACGACGGCTGCTTAGAGAAAAATACTTTTTTATTGCGCGATCATATTGTTAATAAAGCGTTTGCGTTATCACATGAAAAAAAAAAGCATTTTTCATCAAAAGTTAACACCCTACGTGCAAAAGCCATTTTAGAGTGTGGGTGAGAAGAGTGAAGAATATTTTTCGCAGTACAGCGAAAGCAAATTCTCATAAGAAAAAACCTCCAGTAATCACAATTACTCCGAATAACCATACAACCGACTACGAACTTTCAAAACCACCGCTGGAGAACTGAAGGAAAACGCCGGAGTATACTTTAGGGTAAGAAAGTTTTGTGCTATCTTTGGCTTACGGCTTTTCAACATTGTTTTGTGATTTTGATGTTGTGTCTTTGTCAGAATGGCGAAATGGGTTGCAAGGTTTACGAAATTGAAAATTGAAATTGATTGCAACGTTCCCGAAACGGAATGCAAAGTTTACGAATTGGGGTGGAAAACCCTGTATTATAACTGTCATTCATCAACCATCAGCTATCACTATGAATCACTAGTTACCAAGTTTACTCGGTGGTCGTCGTCACTTGTGCTGCGGAGTGTGCACTCACGCGCTTCTGATTTTCTCAAACAGAGGATACAACTCAGAGTTATCCTACAAGAAGGTAGCAATTCCTCAGAGGAATGACACCTTGATTGGCCTGGACGGTGCGCCATATGCAGGATTTTAAAGTCAGACGGCGCGCGTGGTAAGCAAGTGAGCGTGGACCTTTTGCTACAACCATTTCAGCAAAGTTGCAATGACGGTGCAATAAATTCAAGCGCTGCCCTACCTACATCCCGTTAAGGAAACATACAATACCCGTCTTAATTGTTCGACAAAAAGCGAAGAAAACGCGGATCCGCGTTTTTTTCGTTTTTTCGCCGTAACTGACTTAGTTTTGAAAATTTCTACACAA